AAAAAGTTGACAACAAACACAACAACTTATTAGGCTCTTATGTTTGTACTGTCATCGTTTGTGCTCGTTCCCTTCCTTCTACAGGCTTTTTGACGCCATTTTTTCAAAAGTCGGCGATTCAGACTTTGTCGCAGCGAAGTTCGTCCTCGCGTACCTAAGGTCCTACCTACCTCTGTGATCTCCGCACTATGACTTGTTGAGTAAGCAACCTATACAGGGTGTCCCAAAAAATGTGAACACTGTTTGATCACCAATAACTCCGTTGCTTTCATGTCTTTCGCCGAGCTTGAGGCACCATTCTGTAGAGCGAGGTTCAACTTAGATTTGTAGTATGGAGCGAATCACCGATCGCTGTTCGTTACTGTAGGATTACGGTATGGACTTCTAGCATGTGGATCTATTTTGAGACATGCCATTTATAAATTTTTTTCAGAAAACCTGAAAAATCGTGTACTAGTGTTCTCGCACACGCTGATTTCATTACACAACTTTTTACGAGTGTTTTTAGCTTTTTTGACGGGGTAGTCACATTTCTGACAAATGCTGAAAATTCATTTTTACGGTTTAGCTGGGATAACCTTGGAAAGAAGCTCACAATAAAGTGGAATTTTCATATTCGAACTCAGCGGCTTCCATTACCATAATATAAGAGTTTTCGGCTTGTTTGGTTTTGCTCCGAGGCAGAATATGGCCTCCAAAGGCGTAAAATCCTTGTCGAAGTTCCTACTGTAATCCTACAGTAATGAAGAGAGATCGGCGATTCGCTCCATACCACGAATCTAACAAGGGAAGTCACTTAACTTAGGTCGGCCTTTTGGAATGAGACACATATAGTTGCAATCAGCTTAAAACGCTTATTTCAAATCTGCTTTCCATGGCTGCGAAGCATTACTCTGAAGCGAGTTATGTGCTGTTTTTTGAGCAAACTTTGCGTGTTGACCGACTTGGGCATGCTACGGTATCATCATCTAGGTAGTGGTTTAAATGCATACTACACACTATCAAAGCCAAGTGGCTCAATTTGATGTTTTTCAATCTTCCACCACTTTTTGGGCTGATTTTCAACGGCCCTCTTTCCATATTCAATTATACGTTAATGGTACGTATTAAAACAGCTCATATCTCGCTTCAGAGGAACGCTTCGCAGCTAAGGACATCATATTTGGAATCAGCGTTCCAAGCTGATTCTAAATGTATGTGTCTCAATTCAAAAGGCCGACCCAAGTTAAGTGACTTCCCTTGTAAGTTAAACCTCGCTCTATAGAATGGTATAGGGGCCTGCAGGATCGCGAGAGTCGGACGCGCGTACGGCCTTTGCGCCGCGCACGCCTGATATCGCTAGGTCGTAGTCGATTAAGGCTAGATAGGTAAGTTTTTTTGTTTTTCTTTACATTTCACGCCTTCTTTTCTTTTCAGACGGTGAGCACATGTTGGTGCGGAGGAGTTTAAGATCTGAATTAAGGTGAGGTGCAGGATTATGCTCAATACGGACTCAATATTGCAGACCTTCCATGCCTGCTTGTTGAGATGTTGGATTTTCTGTCCTGGCTGCCCTGTTACAGCAAACTGTTCTATTTCTACCGTCTATTCTACCTTATCTTGCATATTGCTTGTGATGATGATGATGATGATGACAATGATTATGATTGTGATGATGATGATGATGATGATGATGATGATGATGATGCAGGATGAGGTAGAACAGACGTTGCAAATAAAACGGAGTTTCGTAATCGGGCAGGCAGGACGAAAAATCGAACATAATCGGACAGCCAGAACAGAAAACTCAACATCCTTCAAAGCAGGGGTGAAAAGTCTACAATATTGGCCCGTATTGAGCATAATCCTGCACCTCACCTTAATCTAGATCTTAAACTCCTCCGCACCAACATGTGCTCACCGTCTGAAAAGAAAAGAAGGCGTGAAATGTAAAGAAAAACAAAAAACTTACCTATCTAGCCTTAATCGACTACGACCTAGCGATATCAGGCGTGCGCGGCGCAAAGGCCGTACGCGCGTCCGACTCTCGCGATCCTGCAGGCCCCTATACCTCAAACTCGGCGAAAGACATGAAAGCAACGGAGTTGTTGGTGATCAAACAGTGTTCACATTTTTTGGGACACCCTGTATATCCGATGATTTTGGAGCTAAAGACCATCCCTTCTGTCGTTTCTGAATTGTAGTCTTCCCTCAGGACTGCCTTCAGATGCCCAACGTCATTGAAAAGATGTTCGAGGGAAGACTTTCCTAGAGTCTACAGAAGTAATTCTCAAGGCATTTAATTTTGACGCGCTACAGAAGCTACAACATTCATTCCTTATACGCCGCGCAGTTTTCGAGCTGTTTCCTACGCATTCTGACTTAACTGGAAGGCGTCGTGGTGTTAGTTGTCGAAAACGGGTTTAACCTGTTTGGTTTTCCGAATCTGATGCTAAAAACTTTTCCAAGTCTTCTGATTTAGGGAACTGAAACAAGAATTTTGGTAGGACAGACTTGGAGCTCCAAACCAGGGTCAAGCGTGTTGATGCAATTCGGGACCCTCATTTACGACTCCCTGCCCTTGAAGTACCCATCCGTACGAGCCCCCTACCCCCACCTATCCCACCCCCACTGCTTTTGAATTTGCATAAACGAATGTCAATCTCAAAAGATGTCATCAATGAACCCCAATCAAAATTATAGGTTCAGAGAAAAAACTACTTATGATTTGGAAGATAGTGCAAGTAATGCTCCACCACTCAAAAACCTTAAGATAAATCGGCGTAGCTTGGGTAAGTAGTAAAATTTTACAATTTTTTGGCTATGCTTATTGTGGTCGAGAAAATGTGGATGAAAAGGACATCATCTGATAAAGCAGAACATAAATTATGATCTGAATGATATATCTAAGCTGTACTCTACCTAGACGCTAGAAAATAAAATAAAATAACATCCAAGAAAAATCAGCATTACGGAAGGGTTCACTTCAGTCATCATGACTGATTATTTCATAATAACTCATTTTCTAGTGACAGATTATAAATTCTTCTGTCATCTATGAATGTTTGGCATAAATCATTCACGTTTCAATGGTACTGAAAGATATCGACTATGGGACTTCTGGAAATTATAACGTTTTAGACTATATTGACAGCCTCGTGTTCTATCCCCGTGCGACACCATTTTGCAGGGGAAGAAACCATATTTTTGGTGCCTTAAAAATATTTTCGACTAGAAAGCCTACTTCCTACCTTTTTGCACAGATTTTCCTGCGAAAAAAAAAAAACAGTTCTGCGCCATCCAGAACGATGTCAAAAACGTGCATGAGCAGGGTACTTTGAAAATCCTTACCGAAGTACAGGGAAAGACTAAGAGGCTGCAATAAATAGACTTTGTAGCACAGTGCCCAGGCTATCCATGGAACAAATTTCAGCCATTGAGGAGAGGTGAGCTCGAAAAAATCTAGATGCGACTCTCGCAGATTTAGATGCGATCCTTGAAGCAAAAACTGGGATTCCTAAGCCTGAAATTTTGTAACTCACCGGAGAGGTATGAAACAGCCTGGAATTTTTACGATGGAAAATAGGAGGATGGCCTCGTATTACAGCACAATTGCAGCCAACAAGCTTAGCTAACTCCCGAGAAATTTAGATGAGACCCAGATATGACCACCTTACTTCAGTTTTTGTCGCCATACATAAAATTATAAAAAAATCCACAGATAACGAAATAAGACCAGATTTTACAAAAATGTAGCAGAGCTTCTCCGGAGTACAGATGAATTGTATGGGCTCATGGAAAACACTGCAAAAAGATTCAAAAATTATTGATTGTCATTGCCGGTAAAGTTATTCGTTTTCGTTGAGTGTATGAGACTTCAGGGAGGCTTCGGAAGCAAGCTTTTTAGGCCATTTGTTACATTTAGAATTTTTAACAAATCATACATCCTTCAAAACTGTTTTGAGCTCTTAGAATTATTTTTAAGAATGCCTAAAAAATAATTATCTGCTCTTTGATTTCCTTCTGCTTACGGTTTTCAGCCAAGCTACTTCCTCTTACGACCCTCCTTCCCTACCTTAGGCGCCCACTTTACGACCCCCGCTGCGACGGTCGCATCACACGCTGACCCTGCTCCAAACGCATACATATTTTTTGCAAAACACCGTGCAAAAAAAATGAGAAAAAAATTCAGAGAAAAAATGCAATAGAACTTATTACACAACCCAGTATTTCCACAGTGTCAAACGAGGCAGTCGATATCAGGGCTTGGGACAAGCTGACACCAGGGAAGTTTCAAAACGAACTCCCCTTTACTTTGAAAATCTCGTACGAAGTCCCCTTTGACCTGTTCTAAAGACCCGTCATTACTTCTAGATTCTGTACAGGTATGCAATAGGGTTTTCACGCATGCTGATTTCATGGAATAACTTTTTATAAGTTAGTTTTTTAAACAGAATTTTCTGCTACGGAGCAGACCAAGAAATTTTCAGATGGCTATAGAACGCCGAAAAGAAAACATTATGAAATCGTTTTTTTTTCTGTACGTAAACTTTTACAGTGCAGATACATTCTACGTAAGATAGTATGAACACTTATTTGAGCAAAGGGTTGGTGCCAGCTCAGCTGGCACCACCTGGCACGGTGCCAGCTGATTCAGAAAAAAGTTCAGCACAGCTCTCATTCACGTAAGTTTTCATAAATTTTTGGCCTATAGTTCGGGTCCTCCCAAGCGCACCACACACCACATTTAGTGCCATATTATTGCGTTTTGGCTGAAAACAACGCTTTTGTTTGTTTGATGTACGGCATGCAGGTGCCGCACATCAAACGAACATCGTGCCAGTGCCGTTCTTGCTGCTCTTTTACACGGACCCCGAAAAAACGATATCCTCTTTGCTTTCCACCCCAAAAACGATATCCAGCTTGACCCGGTGCCAGATGTGCCAAGCTCTGGTCGATATCCATGAGATATGTACATGTCAACGGTAGTTGAAGACAGGCCTTGAAGATAATCTTCACTCATTAATAATACCATAAAGAAATCAAGACAATCCAATACAATCATGTTATTATTCACAATAAAAGTACAATAAAGATGACAATTTCATACGAATTTCACGCGAAAGAAAAATTTTGTTGAGAGGATCAGCTTTCTTTGGCAGGGAATACTGAACACCGAAGGGAGCATAGGACTGTCAAGTGTGTCTTTGTCTGTTTTCTACTGTAGAAAATAAATCCCAAAAACTCAAGATAAGGAAAGCGCACGCTACACACTCAGGGCTGAGTGTTGAATGCGTGTGCTTGCGATTGAGCTGGGTCTAGCGCATAGTTAGTCCTTGCTCTGATAAGGAGTCTTTTGAGTAACCAGCTCAAAAACGATATCTTCGACCGGGTATCAGTTGTGACACTTGAAACGCTCCTAACAGCGAACTACACAAATAATCCTAGTTCGTGGAATCATAAAATGTGAAGCAAACTCATAAACTCTAGGCACAAAACAGAAGATAGGTTGATGAGGGATCTAAGCCAAGAAATAATACAATTCATTTCCTAATAGAGAGGCTGACCGAGGAGTACGTGCGAGTTCGGGTAGTGCTGTACTCGGCTCGGCAACCTAGATATTTGCCTCTGAGCACTCAGGCATATACTCTGTTCAATGTCTACGAGTTCAGAAACGACGAAGCCAATCAGCTTCTAAGTGAACGGAGAAGAGCCTTTCAGGAGTGATACACGAGAGACCAGACAAGCACCGCAGGGGAAGCAGGGATTCGACCAGTATCATTATTGTATCACAGCTACAGCGATCATGACGGCCACGATAAGCGCTCGTGCCGCGCAACAGTCGGAATTGACGGCGATCCGAGCCGCGCGCCGGTCATGAGCGGTGGTCCGAGCGCACTGACGCCGTCGCGACTCGCAGTGCTGTCGCGACGGGTAGAAGTCGTGGCCGGACATGGCCATGCGCGCCATGTCACCATCAGTGACGATACCACGAAGATCGCATGGGTGCACACATCCACACCTGGACGCTTCTGGCTCCTGTGGTAATGGAATATCCAGATCTGAAATCCCCAACTTAGCAAGAGGAAGGACTAAAGGTTTTTTTAGATAATATAAATCTAACAAATTCAACTCGAGGAAGCGGATCGATTGTGAAGCTGTCAACGAGCATATAGTATCGAGATTTCTTCCATGACATCTCCGCCAAAACATCCGAAAGCTCACCTCTGCACTGGAAGGATGGATGACCAGCGTAATCGACAACTTTCGATGTGGCAAGGTGCGGGCAAGCGAGTTGAGCATAATAACACCAGTTCACGCAAGGTGGTTCACGCCATATAGAAACTGTTTGAACGAGTAGCCATCGCTTATACCAAGACTGAAAAGGTAGTCATGTACCCGATGCATACCGAGGCTGAGAGAAACGTTTTGAAGAACGTATTTGAGAATCCACAGTCTACAATGTAGATGATAGATTTGTGCTCTCAACAAAAAAGCTTCTTTTCAGCAAAACCGAAAAGTTTTTTTAACAAAGCTTCCACATACCTTCGTCGTTCAACTTTAATGTGTATGTGAGTGCGATTTAGATGTCAAATACCTAGAAGCGACTAAAATGGCAAAAAAAAACGTATTTATTGCGCTGTTGCAGGAATGGAAGGTAATTAATCAGATTGGTTTTTGAAGATGTGAATCATAATACAATCCCGTTAAGCGAGAATGAAGGCGCAACATGCTAACTGAAAGTCGACATGCACAATTTCATACTTGCGCGAAGTTCTTAACAATCGTAACACCACCAGCTTTTTCAAGGCCAAGTCCAACCTCAGACGTCGGTGATGACATGCACGTTATAAAGCCACGAACATTTTCATTTTTTTTACAAGTAAACCAAACATTAGCTGGTTTTGGCCTAGAAAAACTTGCTTTGACAGCTTGTTCTAATAATATCAAAAAGGAGAGAGATCAAGAAAGGAAAGGAAGAAGCTGAAATCTACGAAATCATATGCTGAGCTGAAAAGCGCGCAATAGATACTTTACAATGTAGATTGTAGCAGTATGGACAAGTCACTACGTGACGAGATTTGGGCAAACATCTCCAAAAAGCATTGAACAAGAACTTGATAGAGCTGAGCAGAAGAAGGAAGCAAAAAGTTGCGTATTGTTCAAATGCGATGAATTGGATCCGCGATGTACTTTGCTACACTTGTTGGAAATGGGCCAGAATTTGATCTACTATGCTGGAAATTACAAACTTGTAAACACAGAGTTTTGCGATCATGCTATCTTCACATGTGATTGGAAGTGTCATCATTTCCCACTAGTAAAACATAAGTGATTAGGAAGTACAGTCGAGTAGATTTAGCGGTAAATATAGTGTGCTTGCACAGAAGGTGAAATGCGGTGAAATTTGCGCGTGAAAAAGTAGCCACGTCAGTACCGCGAGTATCTTGCGCGCGCAATTGGCCGGCGTCACAGTCGAAACTATTTCTTCACGCGCCAATTTCACCGCATTTCACCTTCTGTGCAAGCACACTATATTTACCGCTAAATCTACTCGACTGTACACACTGATTCAACTTAGGAATATCAACAGACGGTAGTATCGAAAATATGAATATGAGGATGTATAAACCTACGCGACATGTCGTACAACTTCCATTTGGCGAGAACGGTCGTGTAGCGCTAGCTGTATCAACTGCGGGCATGCAGTCAAAACGAAGTAGTGTCTAAAAATTGAGATGTGAAAGAAAAGAACTACGTGAGCACGTTACCGTAAGATCAGAAGAGTGATGCTACTCACTTGATCAAAAGATCGATACGCGTCATCAAGACGTCGTAACGCTGTCGCAAGACGATTGAAGCATGCATTGCATCGTTCACCACTCTCTCGAACACAGTCGCTGCCGCGCACTCCAGAGAGAAGGCGTCTCGACCACCCTTCGCTATTCGAGCCGGCAGCAAACACCTAGAAATATACAAGTCAAGCGATTTGGTCAAGGAGCTAAGCAGCCGTGGTTACCGAATATAAAGAAATCGGTTGAAGGTCAGAGAATAGGAAGGTTGTACGAAGTCGACGGATGCGCTCGTCTGGCTTAAGGGCACACATTTCAGACACCGACTGCTCCGACCACACCAAACATTGGTCGCTTTTGTTGCGTCGTTCCTGACAAAAAAGTACATTGATGAGTAAAATGCTATGAGACATCCTTTATCGATTTTTTGATTTTATATATATTACAAAAAGACTGGTACTGGGACAAATGTGGCAGATCTATTCACTTTAGCTAAGACCAGACAAAAAAGTTCTTCGAAATTGTTCTTGTCAAGTTCTGATGACGCTTCTTGAAAACCTTTTTTTTCATTATGTATTTTTTCAACTTCTCAAATCCAGCAACCTGCAGACGAGAAGCCAGCATCTTCCCGTCATAGCCGACCCTCCGCACTGCATCGCTGAACACTTGAAAGTGCAGCGAATGCAAAAATGCTTGCATACATGCTCTTGGATAAAAGTATACGAATGAGATTTTCTCCAACGCTTGTTGCTGCCTCAGCGACTGTGACTAGCTCATGAAGGTCACTATAAGCTCTTCGCAGCTACACTAGCAAGGATAGGCGCTTGAGGGTAGAGAGGTGCGCATAATCCGTGGGATAAAATCTTGAAAACTGACCAAGCTTATCTCTCCCGGAACGTGAATGGGAATAGAACATCTTAGATAGGTAGAAAGTATACTTGCTAACCGCTGATGCAACACCTGGATATATGAATTGGAAGGGGCATAAGGATTATTCGCGCACGGTACTGAAACGGCAAATGTGTCCTATCATCCTTCCAAACAAACTCAATGTATAGATGTTACACTTTTTGCTTGTTTTTTGAGATGGCAAAAGTAGCAAACACCAGAGTAGAAGATTCTCTTAGAGTAGAAAGTTCACCCAGAGTAGAAGATTTTCACAACTTCCATATTGTCTCATATAAGTTCCTTTGTAGTGCTAACCTCTATGAGGGGCAGCCAGCATGAACGATAGCTTGGCCAGCCATATGCGTTGCGTAAGTCAAAAAATTTTCAAATTCTATATTTATGCTTTGATGAAATTTAGGATTAAAAAAAACGCTGAGAGCTCGGTATGCCCTAATTGTTACTATTCGACACCATTCAATCCAGTAAAAACCATGCTGCTCAAAAAATAAGATTTATGCGAGGCATATTGACAACTGCAGGTGTACGGTATGCTTATTTTCAGCTATCGTTCTTGGCATAAACCCGACCTCTATAACAAATGCAAATAAATAGAACAAAGATCACCTTAACTGCGTTCCATAAGTGACAAATAGAATCGAGCTCAAGTTTAGGAGTAATGAGCGGGAAGGCCATTATTCTATGTCTACCTTCTATCTTTCATATTCTAAAAATCATTTTCGTACTGATCCTTGCACGGTAAATGAACTTATTATTTGGTGCTGTTACAGAGTTTATCTTTGGCACTCGTCCTAATAAATCATAGTACGCTAAAAACCGACATACACGGGCGGATCCGCAAGAACTGTTAAAATGGCCTTACTGAGTACATTTCAGGCGTACAAGCCGCACCCCGATTGCTCTAAGGCTGGATTCATAACCGCAACTTCCGGAACAGTTCCAGCACAACGCTCCAACTGTTCCGCAACTGTGCTGCATACGCTGCAGCCGCCCGCATGCGATTTTGAGTGGCGGGAAATAGTAATTTTCAATTGCTTTCAATGAATTTTATAAATTTCGCCTGTTTTCGCCTCATTCTTGTATCTTGCTTCCTCTTGTGATGAAAAAAGTCCCAATCTCGGAGCGGGAAGAATGAATGCTATGGTTTGTTTATGACTTGAAATTTGTCAAAAGCCAGAACCTCTCCCATTTTTGTACTTTACACCGCACTTGGAGTTTTTTCAAGCGGAACAGTAATTGAAAACGCACAAGCACGCAGTATGATTTTTGAAAAGAAATGGTTCTGAAAGGCCCAAAAGCCCATTCTCATAAAAACACAAGAAAAAATTCACAGCGCTATCATGATGATTGGATCATCTCTCCGAAGACAGCTGGTGTTGTCGAAAACACTGCGACTTATTAAAATACAAAAAGAGTGAGCAAAAATCTCACGGAAGAGAACGGGCGCGCAAAGTAAAATGCCTCTTTTACGCAAGACGAGACATGAAAAAAGGTCAATTCTCACCACGCTTCCAGTTCGGTATTCTCTCCATCACAAGGAGGAGCAAGCAGAAGAAACAAACACAACGAAAACCGTCAAAGGAAGTTGAACATTGCTATTTCCGCCTCTCCAAACCACATGTGGGCGGCCGTAGCGCATGCAGCACAGTTCCGGCACAGTTCGAGCGCTGTGCTAAAACTGTTTCGGAACTTCCCTATCAGCGTGAACCCAGCCGAAAGCCAAAGTGTCAAAGGAATCTTCGCGGCATGTGCAAAAACGCGTAAATGTAGATATGCTACAGCTTTACCCTTATGCATGACCAGCGCGATAGTGACACACCGCTAGGGCTGTTAGGTTTGACGGAGATGAACTGGGTGTATGTCAAGAGGAGCGATTTTTTGCCAGCTGGACAGCAAATAGCACAAATTTAGTGTTTTATGGAGTTCCAGAAGTATTTCAAAATTTAGAAGAGAGGACTAGAGAGTTACAGTGGATGTTGAGTGGGTGTTTCATTGCTTTGAAATCGAGAATGAAAATGTTGGAAGCCAAAAACTGACGAAAATGCATCAAACACAAATTCGTATTTATTTTGGTCAAAATCTCTGCAAAAGTCGTTAAACTAAGCAAGTGGTAACTTCAGATATCTAGTAAGCTAGTGCAGTTTGTCTCGTGCTTTTTAAAGCACCAAACTTGATTTGAGTTGGTGACAGCAAAAGAAATCGCGCCTCTTGACCCTCTCCCAAAACTCACTGGAATAGGTAGTAGCCCAACTTGCGCTTTTTTGCTTTTGTAACAGCAAAATCTTTGTCTTCTGATCGTGCGCAGTCATCGCAGTATCTTTCCTACTTCCGGCATTTCTAAGCTTTTTGAAAAATTAATTGACGGGCACCAAGAGAGCTACACTGCAGGTATACAATACTACTCATAACTGACGAAAAAAGTCGCCGGACTTCAACGGAGTTCACCGGAATTCAGGTCGATCTCTATATTTTGGTTCAGACTGGACGAATTCTGGATCCAAGGGCTACTTCGGTAAGGCGCATCTTCTGATGTATGAAAACGCCCGTTTAGATACAGTAGTCGGCCACATTTCACGAATACTTTTAGATTTTTGCCTGCGTGCAAAATTCTACAAAATGTTTATGAGATCTTTTATAAATTTATTAAGAGCTGTAATGTAGTTATCCTCTCCAAGGATGGGTTCAAAAACGTACTTTGTTTCCATTAACGACTCCTTTCTTCTGACTCTCTTTTTGGAACTACTAGTAAGACAGCAGAGCTCAAGGTATGCACTCAATGAGGAAGACGAAGTGATTATAAACGGAGAACAAGAGAGATTTTAAGCATGTGCCACGTTTACGTGTTCATGGTAGCAAGAGGGCAAATTGTTTTGAGTGTACAAGACTGGCTGATTCCTGGCGTGTACGTTCGAGATGTTTTCCTTGAATATCAGTTCCTTGTTCTTACTGTTTATTTCTGCGAGCAAATTCTGAATTGCGCCATCAGTGAAAACCCTTTCGTACACTGTTAGATTGACAACAAAACAGTAACCTTTTGGAGACATGTGCAACTCCTGACTCGAAATGCCCAAAATTCTCAAAGGAAATTAACGCTGTATAATGTCAGTAGATATACCTCGATCATGAACATTCTCGATACAAGCAAAGCATAATCGAATAATAATGCACTTCTATCAAAAATCAAAATCTCTTATAGGTGAGATTCACGTGTTCTAATGTTCACCATTAATTTGATAAACAACTTGAAACACGGTTATAGAGCATCTTCTGAGAATCTACGCAATATCTTATAGGTGATCTCTGATTAAGCAAGAGCAAAAGTACCACCAAGCCAAAACAAAATAAGGTTGTCGTAAAAATGCCCTAACCCTAACCGAGAAACATTCCTGACAGTCGAGTAGAATGTCCGCCCAATATAGTGTGCTTGCGGTGCCGAGAAAATGCGGCAAAAATTTCGCGTGAACAAATAGCCACTCCAGTAATGCCGGCATTTTGCGCGAGTAGAAAGCTGGCATTAGTGGTGGGCTATTTGTTCACGCGCAAATTTTACCGCATTTTCTGGGCAGCTTAGGCACTGTAGCAAGCGGGAAATCTACTCCACTTGAACACTGAGTAATAAGTGCCCCAAACACTTTGTCTGTTGCTTTGAATGTTTGAGAGACCTTGTATAAACATGGCTTAAAGCACCTCTTTTTACTCTTTGTAATGGTTGATTCCGACAAAGTCTCCTGAATGTTTACAGATAAGTGTCAAAATTTTTTCATTCGTTATTCCTTTCAGTTCAAAACCCCGCTATTTTTCTGAAAAATGTCTCAGACTTCCAGGAAAGAATAGATATTAGGCAACTATACCCAAACTCAGCAATTTGAGACTGTTTTCAGACTTCTGCGATCTGTTGTTCGACGTTCTACAAAGCCATTATAGAGTTTTTTTGGTAGGAACATGAAACACACGATTGCAGCAAAAATATAAAAGCTTCCGACATTCAGTCGAATCAAAACTCGCTCGTCATTAAGCATGAACTGTGCAAAAGTCAAGCTTTGCTTGAGAAATAACTATTTGGAAACTCCGATACGCCCGTGTAATATAGCCAATAGAGGCTAGTTTTCTCACTAAACAAATTATGAGAAAAACTCGATAAATAAACTGAATTAAGTAAAGTAGGAAGAGTTTTCGTAGAAAGAGTTTCTTTCCCACATAACATCTCCGGTGCTCTTTCAAGATAGTAGGATGAAAATCAAAAACTAGAGAGAATGGCGTTATTGCCAGATTGCAAAGAATCATGGCGATAGCATCGCAAAAATCGCATCAGAGAAGAAAGACAGCTATCAGAAACAGAGGGATCTTTGAATGATACCTAAGTCGTTCATTGGACGGTTTACGAGTATTGGTGACTGATCAAAAACACGGGTAGGGGATTGAACTCCGCCAGTTTAGACCGCCTCCGCGGACTACTGGTCCGCAACGACACGCAACAACAATGCAAAAGGACCAGTTGCCATCGGAGGCGGCTAAAAACTGGTGGAGTTCTTCCTACCCCAAACATACTGACGAAATTTCCGCGGCAACCCGATATACCTGGATTGAAAAGTAAAGCTCACTATGTAGGTGTGTTTAAAAAAAAACCAAGAGAAAGTTACTACGATCGACTGCAGCAAAAATGAAAATATGGTGAAACAGGACCTCATTTTTAATCAGATATCGAGCTCCCAGTTCACGTGAAAGGAATTGATGTTGCGTCACCTCTCTTACAAAAGCGTTCACGTCATCGTCACAATGTGGTATGGGTTCTATTGCAATTAGCACTAATTTTCTGGTCATAAAGATGCAAGGCAATACTTGATAAGGCGAACGAGTTCTTTATTCGCTGATTTCCACGCTCGCGCACTACCCCAATCTTCGAAGTATAATACTATCAGCGCAATAACTGAGATAAGGCCTAAGTTGGAGATGAAATATTTGTTAATAACGTAGGACTTGAAGAAACGAAAGAGAAATTGCGTCGTGTTTGAAGCTACAAACGATAAAAACAAGTCAGGCGCACGTGATGGAATTCGACCCCAAGAACTACTCACCACATGCAATATACTTGCGACAGGACACGGGGCTGAATCCGTCTTATGCGATGCAAGACTTCCGCTTGCTGCAGCGCATGCAAAGAGCGACACGATGTGAACGAAGAGTGCAACCTGAAATCAGCGATGGCAGACAAGGTCTTCGTTCCCGTGAAAATAAAAAGGAGCAAAAAACGACGCACTTGGAAAATGCGTCTATGTAGAAGTGTATAGAAAGAACTGGAACGTCGTCGAGAGGCTGATTCGTTGTGGTTTTCACAGATGCAATGTAGCTGCGGCCGCATTACCGCGCGCGCTTGTGCGCCCGCGCATTTCAGGCCGGCACGAGGCGTTGTGGGCGACACATGAAGCAGCCGCGGATCGCGGATGACGGCACTTGTACTGTAATGTTCACATCGTAGATGACATTTAGGTATAGTCACAGTATGAGTAAACGACGGCAACAACTTGTTCTCGTTTCGAAAAAGAGGTCACTTTCCAGATCAGTGAAACAACAACCAGAACTCGGCACAGACGTTTGGAAGCAGGCTGGACTTCGTTTTCGGGGCGAAAAGGCAAAGGAGACCTCGTTTTCATGCGTCCGAAAAACAGGCTTGCTTTTATAGTCGACGTTTCCGAGAAGGGTCAAAGGGGACTTAGTCAATTTTGCGGATTTTAGGGGGGACTTCGTTTTCAAAAAGCCTAGAAACGGACTCATGCCGGGCCCTGGCAACAAATGTTACGAGCAAATAATGGTAGCATACCAACGAATGACAATGGAATGAAGGAAGAGGGTTCATCGTGCAGTGTAATTGAAAACAATGATACGTCGAGAGAGGCAGTGAGAATACATTCAGGAATTGAAGAATGTTTCGTAATTCTCCAACTTATGATCTAGAGTAATATCAAGAGTTCCTAGGCCTATCATGTTTTATAATAACGCTAGTGCATCCTTGGCATTGGTCTGCTATGAAAATACGGTGAAGTGAATTACACTGCTTCGACATGTAAGAGCTACACAACAAGTGAGGTTCATTTTGGTGATTACTTAGCGGTCCTTCGACTGAAGAATGATCGGGATGCTAATAATATACGCGAGTTCACTTGATACCTTTCATATACGAACGTCTGCGAAGCAGACGCGAAATACTGATCTCATTTAAATCAGAAAATGCCTTTATAACTAAGAAATCCGCAGTGCTATTTTCTACTGCGTCAAGTGTTTCAGGGCAACTGATGAAAGACTCTCAAATTCCAAAACAAATGATCTATTTGATCACTAGATTCCCTCGCGAGTTTGTCTCCCCTTCAAGTGGACTCACTTTATGTACACTCTTGATTAGCATTTCTGTAATGATGCATCATGAAAGTCATTGCTATGCATTTGAATAAAAAGGACAAATCAAGTCTGTGGGCGCTTGTGCTGCACCCACCGCTAGTCTTCCGAACAAAGACGGAAGTCAATAAGAATTTTGAGGATTTTACAAATTTCGTTCTCATATCTCTTCGGGAACTTATGCGGAAATCCGAAAACAAGTCGACGCCAATTGTTGCTGATTCACGCTAATCAAAAAATGTCCAGGACATTCGTAAAAGCTGCAAGATAAATGAATAGCAAACGAGGCGGCAAATTGCTTGAAAAATTTCCTGCGCCCCCAGTTCCCGCGAACAATCAGAACAGGTGTTTCTACGCATTCCAAATTATAGATATGAAGAGCAAAGAAAGGAAGTCAGATCATACCACAATGTCAAAGAAACCCTAGGAATACCAGTGACTGAGGAAAAAAAGAGGCTAGAGTCAGGTTGGGGCATGTGGGATAAAAGCTGAAAAAGCGAGTTCAGTTGAAGCTGGCAAAATAATATTACGTCTTTGGCATAAACGCCTAAAACCTCACAAAATTACTAACAAATCAAATCGAATCAGGTAAATGAGGTATAAGTCTTTGCAGATAGTTTCGAGTAAGCTATTACCTAGACTGACCTGTTATTGTAGTGATCGAACGTTTGCCAAAGTAAGCTTATTCGTCAAAGTAGGCTATGATGCTGAAAACGCATTGAGGAAGACTATAGAACAAGCAACAGATCGAAGAGACCGCAGATGAGTAGCGAAATGAGCATGTAATCTAACTGAGACGGTAATTAGCAGGTGGAGGGCGGTAGTCTAAAAACATGATTGCTTGGTAAACGAACCCTAACACGTCCACGACCGCGTGCATATAGGAGCATGCATACGATTATCGAAGGAGCTGTCGAGGAATGCTCGAAGATTTACCCGTAGTTCTCAAGAAAAGACGTTGGAATACGAACAGCAATGTTTTAGACACTCTGCTGAGAATAAAAAGGACTGTAAAGGTCACTGAGTTTGAGGCCATTGCCCACGCAATACATCAACAGATCTTCCTCAGTTTTTTCCTTGTAAACTGTTTTCTGCCACATTTTATACAATCATTTGGAGCGCGACTTGGGAAGTGCGGAGGTGATGTCGTTTGTTTGAGCAGTTTAGAGCCTTGTGAGGTCTTGCGTGAGCAGTGTCCGCAGCCGATACGATTTCCACGATTTACAAGCGCAATAGACACGCTAAAGCTCGCGTGGGCCTGCAGACAAATTCAATGTCAATCTCAATTTTACACAATGAATGTTAGTAGGATCACCTTACGTAATGCCTAATATGGCACCGAAGTAACCGATAAATAATGCTAATACTCAGCAGATACGGGAGTTCGCGTAAAGTTCCCGAAACAAAATATACCAACGGCTAGATTCATAAACACGAAGGCATAAGCATACGTCAGTTGATCAAATAATTCTTTGTATCATCAAGGTTACAGACGCTCCCTTCGGAGAAAAGTCTTTTTGATTAAAATGGATAAGCGTAGTGACAGTGCTAGGTAAAGTCTACATATTCAGAGACATATCGAAGTCCTGTAAGACCACGTGCTTGCGAATGTGGTCATTCTCTGGAAACAGCTTTAGGGACGAACATTGGAGAGAATCAACAGCCGTGAAATTTTGTACGGAATGTGAAATATAAGGCAGATAATTTATAGCAAACCCGCTGCTGCACGACACCATGAGGGATTAGAGCGGCATACCGGTGGTATTCAGAGTAATGCTCCGCAATGTTGATAGATCTACAGAGCTGAGAATATTTTCAAATGACAAGATAGCAAAAGTTTTGTCTCACAAAGCCACTGAATAAAATCTAGAGAATTCGAAAACAGCTGGGATGGCTGGGATATCGACTCGACAATGCTGCACCGGAATGTTCAACATTCCCGGTTGTTACATTTTGTTACATTGTCTCAAACGAGTACCAGTCACTTCGATCTTCGACTAATCACTAGAAGCAATCATGTTGACAGAGAGAATAAGTCAGATGGAATTTTAATACAAAAAAAAATGCTCGCAGTGGACAGTTCGCGATGCTGATAATATTCAGGATGGAAATATCATGTTTGAAAAGAGAAAAATTAGTAAAAACTGTGCGCTAGTTACCAATTTGTTAGATGAGCACCAACACCTGTCACTTTTAGAAGCAGAACCAATGAGTGAACACAGAAAGCAGGAGCACTAATAACTAACAAATACTTAATATAGTGTTGTGAAGCGGAAATGAATGGTGCTTAATCCACACTTGTGCAAGGGCAGTAAATGTCAAGAAAAAACCCAGAACGAAAAGGCTGTTGTCAACAATTATGATGTATCATTCATCAATTGAAATTAAGTTCTTGCAAATTTTACATGTGTTATGCATGAAGCAGAACTGGTGCGGCTCATTAAATGACAAGTCGGGTCAAATTGCTTGTCAAAGCATATGGCCCTGACATAGCAAACAGATGCGAGGAAATCTCAGGACGATACCAAAGAAAGCAAGCGTTTTTGATGCTTGATAAAGCGCATATAAGGTCCTTAATGAGCAAGCTATGCGAAGAAGCTTTAGTACTTCTAATAACAGCTTTTGGGATGGTATAGAGATGATATTGTCATTTTGAATTTTTCAGATGCTTTACAAAAGGAACCCGTTTTGAGTGGCCGAAACCCCACCTCGTGGACCCCAAGCTTAAGCTGCACCAGCATTTGAAATATCAATCTGAGCTCGCGAGAGCATCAAAATATAGTGCGATGGATTTCACCAGAATGCACTACATTTACAGGAACAAAGTTTTGAAAAAGTTAATGTTCCATACATCAAGCAGCTGTAAACTGCGCTATCTCTCAGTGCAGTATTAATCGCATGTCATCCGTACTCTGTTCGATTTTACGAAAATAAATCATGACTGATAATGTTTCTGACAATACTTGCGCTATGAGTTGCCAAATTCTGCACGCTTGTTCCTGAGATCGATTCGGTAAAGGAAACTTTGTTATGCCGTCGGTTCGATGTGAAATTCCAATCTCGATTTTCGACATTTGGAACATAAAGAATAAGCTAAAAATGCAAGATACCAATGCGCATCATAGTCAAGCCTTGCAACAACTCTACAACTCAAGAAGGCATAAAGTAACACTCCAGTACGACGGAAATCTCGTCGAAAACGTTCTCTTTAATATACATGTCAAAAAAGGGTGAGATGGTGTTCTACCAGATTACTCCCTCAAGAAGTATAAACTCAAAACTTCTTTCAAAGTACCTTTTGTTTCTTTGCAAACTTATGATCCGCGAGACCTCATCAACTCCTAATGATCTTCAGATTCTCTGATCTTGCAAGACTAAGGTGGATCATATTGGGTTGAATAGAACCTTCCTTCACATTCAATTCATACTCTTCGTATCTACACCTGATATGAAGAATCCAACAAAGAACTTGAAATGTCTTGTGTAATCCAGTTTCACTTGTGGAAAGGACCGGAGCAAAATTCAGAACATCACTTTTAATGTGCGACATAAAGAAGAATAGCAGCAGAACTGCTGTTATTTCACATAAATGTTAAACTGAAGAGGGAGAACTTATATATGGAATGCCTGTTTGAGGACAAAATAATAATTGACCTTGTCACTTAACATCCATACGTATTCTTCAAACTCTATTGACATTCGTCTCTAGTTATTCTGTTCAACGCGATATGATCACCAGCAACTCTCATCCACTTTGAAATGACAGCTTAGACTCGTACTCTGGTGTTTCTCAAGCTTTCAGTATGTTTTCAAGTTTTTCAAGTGTTTTTAAGCTCAGAAGTTCCATCGCAGTCGACTATACGACTGCATATAAAACCATCAAATGCCGATGAATCCCCAGTGAATTCATGTCGAGAAACATTTCTATGTGTTTTCGCAGGAGTGGGCAAAATGGTGAATCGGACTGCAATCACGCTGGCTGCAATTTAGACTAGAGCCGTGTCATTAACGAGAATCCAGGAATTTTCATTAATTCCTTCAACCTCTGCAAAACGCCCAATTAATGCTCATTGCAAAGCTTTGATCCAGTGATTCCGCCCCACCGCCCCTCTTTCGAATTCGACTTTCCGAGTTGGCCAAGAGAACGCGAGAGGACGGGCGATGTCTTCAAGAGATGGCGAGGGGAACTCATTCATACGTAGGTGCGCCGCTCATTGATTTCGTCGATGGGGGAGGGGTGTTCCGAGAGTTGCTCGGCATTCTTGATATGCGAAGCGCAGATTCCTAAAGGCAATGCCTCTAGCCTGCAATTCCGACGAGCAAACGAAACTTGGGGGGGGGGGGGAGGGGGGGGGGGAGAAGCGGTACCGGCCTGGACTGGAGCAGGCAGAATTGCGCTACAAACCAAGCATTCAGAGCCTGAACACGTCGAGTCCACAAAAAAAAAGGAGATGAAGTGAGATAAGAAAGAATTCACCGCGGCGTTTACATTGCGCAATCATGAGCGCAACCCTCTGACGGCCGATCGCTCGAATAAAGGTGCTACCATCACCAAGTAGCTAACAGCAAAAAGTGCCCAAGCGATAGAAAAGGAATGATGTGTAATTCAGGTCAGCAACGACTGTCAAGTGGAACGAGACTAGAAGGAACCGTTGTTCCTCGACCTCATGATGTCTCCTCATTTTGTGGAAATAAAAGTGAGTTCATTATGAGTTTTGCATACCCTTGGGGCTGGCTTATACAAAACGAACGCTATTGAAAAAATTCTCTTTAACTAAAAGTCTTCGCAACCTCTGCGCAGGGACTACCCTGCAGTTCGATTCTGTGGGTATGTGTTCGCTTCAACATGCCTACAAAAAGCGTTTGAAAACCTCACTGGAACTTCATTAGAACGCAGCAGAAGCCTTAATAAGGATTTTTGCAGTTCGCGAAGAACTCAACTGCGTACAGCAAAATGGAGATGTTAGTATTTGAGCGCTTACTGCAAGCCGTCATCTCGCGAGAGAGAAGTGGCGTGACGAACTCGTTCCAACAGACGTTCTCAGCTCTCATGTGCACCACATGCCGGAGCAGACCCCTTGCTCAAGACGTACCGCCAAGCTATTGGAAATGTACTACTTATTGAATAACTAATTCGTAGAAGCGTAGTTGGGCTGATTTTCGTCCCTGGTAAAGGATATCCAAAAAGAACTTAATCCTCTTCAAGGATCCATCCCATTTTTCCAGGATCACTTCTCACCTTCGGTGTGTATAAAAATAACAGCAATCCGAGCGAGGATGGAAGAGTATGTTCGAGTGCTTTCGACCAAAACATAAATAAATGTGACGGAATGGTCCAAGAATAGATCAATGAAAGATATCGACCGTTAAGCATCATCAAGCTCATAAGCAACGATACATGTTTGCTGTATATACGTGAAGATCAGAGCCATTGGTGTGGATGGCACGAACGATCAATGATATAGCGTAGTAAGCTCTATTGTAGATAATTCTGGTTTTGTACGAATACAGCACTACTAAGCAGTTTTAACTAACCTTATTGCGCAGAACCTTGACATGCAAGAGCGAAAAAAAACATTAAGCCATGGCAAATAATCAGCAGACGGCTTTGGAAATCCGCAGTTAATTCGTTCTTGGACAAATATTAGTATGGAGTAGAAACAATCAAAGAAATGCGAGTAAGCATTGCCTTCAAAATCGATTTTGTTCAAGCATGTACACATTATCGTGGAAAAAGTATATGGAGCACATCGGCACTGAATCAGCATAGTTCGGAAACGATGCGAAGGAGGAGTGGTGTGCATGAAATGAAGTAAAAGCAAAAAAATTCAAGAAGTCACAGTTATGCGTGGAATTTAGCCGTCAAATATTTTGTCGACACCCTGCCAGCATCAATGGAAACGACAGGATGGTGGTGCTGTTCAAATTTTTGGTGTTTTCAAAAGTGATTATTCTGCTACCAAACCTTTGAACAAATCAACAAAGTTCGGTTCTTGAGGGTAGATCGGCGAGAAGGCTTTCTACGAATCAAGCTGTCAAGCGGGATAACTGAGAAATCTTCTCCCCAAGTTTCTCAGATATGTGTCTTAGCACGAAGGCGTGAATTTCGAGCCTCTCAGATGTCGAAGTGTATTGCCGCGGAGAGAATGGATGATCGATGACGCGCCAGAGCAAACACGCATAGAGTTAGAGAAGAATAGCACCACAGAAAGGCAGTTCAAGGACAAAAATCCTGGAAGTTCTTGAGAGCATTGCAATCGCTAGCAGAGCCTAGAAACAAACTGAATACAGTAGTACCTTACATGAGCTCAGAACTAGAAGGGTAAGAAACCTCAAGATTCGCTCTCCGTTTCAACCCTACGAACGACAGCTTTCTTGAAATCAGGGAGTGACTTTGAAGTGAAAAGCACTATGACTTTCTATCAATGGTAGGAAAAGACCTGTTCTGTTTTCTCCAGGTTTTTTCAGACGCATAATGGGCATTATAAACATGTGTAATATGCGTACTGGAAGAAATAGAAATGTGGGATTTTGCAGGCAGTACTGGTGCTCAAGCAAAAGTGTTGTTCAGAAGTTTTGTTGGGATTATGTAGCACAAGCTGTTTCGTGGGATATGAGAATAGCTGACGGCTGAAAAATGAGGAAGTAACCAACAAATTTACTCAATCATTTGCCGAATAAAGAGAAAAATATGTAACGGACATATATACAATAAGAAGTGCCGAAGTAAAGCAAAAACACTTAGTGTTGACATCTGTATGAAAGGACTGATAGAATTTGGGTATTTGCTGGATTGGCATTTAACACAGCGAATATTTCAAGGAGTCAGAGTACAAACAAGGACTGATGACGAACAAGCAACAACGGATAGTATTACGGAGTGCGCATGTGTGCGTTACGGAAATGAATGGAACGAATGCTATCTCCGAGAGCGCGC